AACTAAAACATAGTTCAAATTCAAACTGAGCCAGTAATTAGTTCTTAAGCATCTACTAAGACTCAGTTTGAAGTTTTATGACAAATTGTAGTAATTACTTTCAGAAAGGCAAAGGCACGCCCAGGTATAGTTTTAGAATAGTGACCTTTTCATATTATTGATTCAGATCTATAAGAGGGGTGCTTCTGAATGGGTTGTTCAGTTTACTAAGCTTAATACTTAAGGAGTTAAAAAAATGATATGTGTAGTGACGAGAACTGATTTAAGAATTCACTCTGCAACCCTCATTGTGTACTCCTACAATAAAAATAATGCCCTAAAATATAGTACTTTTAGAGTATTCTCTCCCCCATAGACTTCAATACCGTAAACATATTTCATCCAGATTTTCACAGTCTTACCGCCACCCCAATGCCAGCCTCATTCTACAACAGTGGCACCATATAGCATTTGTCCCTTTGTGACTGAGATACCTCACTCAGCATAATGTCCTCCAGGGTCACCCATTTTGAATAATATTGCATGAGTTCCTTGTTTTTCAAGCAGCATAGTATTCCATTGTGCGAATATACCACAGCTTCTCTACCCATTCGTTTGTTGATGGGCATTTAGGTTGTTTCCAACTCCTTGCTATTGTAAACAAAGCCACAATAAACATGGGTATGCATATATCTATCTACTTGGATGTCATTTATGGTCTCTTTACGGTATATTCCCAGTAGTGGAATTGCTGGGTCAAATGGTATCTTTATTTGCAACTTTTTGAGAAAGTGTCACAATGCTTTCCACAAGGGTTGCACCATTTTACACTCCCACCAACAGTGAATAAGGGTTCCAGTCTCGTGGGGTTTGGGGAGGTGCAGGGGGATTGTGTACCAATGAGGGAGTTTTTCTTTTGCTTTTCAAGGAGAGGGGGGGGGGGGGGGGGGAGGGGGTTGTGTGGGGAGAAGGGTGCAACAGTGAATGAATGGAATTCCAAAATCTCTGTAGATGTTCATTGAAATGAAAAATAAACAAACTAAGTTTAAAAAAAAGAATTCACTATGGGCATAAGCCTCTTTCATTTCTGAGTCTCAGAAGTTCTTCTTGATATCATATTATACTCCGCAATTATTCTACTAATGTTACAAAAATTAGCTCCACTATCAATTTTATATCAAATTGAACTACAATAAAGCACAGTGTTGAACACCTTGGAATAAAATCCTGCTCTCTTGATTGTGGTCTAAAGTTTAACCCAATGCAATTATCAGTTGCATGTTTGACTGAAAGCATTTGTCATTACAAAGACGGAGGAAGAAGCAAAGACCGAAATGGATGTGAGAAGATAAAGAGTTGAACACAGGATTTAAAAGGGCACCATGGGAAGACAAAGCAAAGTATTATAATGAAATATGCAAAGAGCTGGAGTTGGAAATCACAAGGGATGAACTCGCTCAGCATTTCTCAAGCTGAAGAAACTTAAGAACAAACTCAAGCTTTGAGTTGCAATACTTAGGAATGGTGTGGGAAGAATGTTGAATGACCCAGGAAGCATTAAAAAAAAGTGGGAAGAGTATAGAGTCACTATATCAAATAAAGAATTGTCTGACAGAAGAATTTCATGAAACAACATGTGATCAAGAGCTTATGGTGATGAAGGAGGAAGTGCAAACTGCTCTGAAAGAATTGGCAAAAAACAAGGCCCCAGGAATTGACATATTTCAACAAACAGAAACAGTCACCAGGTTGTATCAAGAAATCTGGAGGACAACTGCTTGGCCAGCTGACTGGAAAAGAACCATATTTATTCTCATTCCAAACAAAAAAAATTACTGAAAAAGTATGGAAATTGTCGAACAGTATTATTAATATCACATGCAAGCTAAAATGACTTGGAGCAACAGATGTGCAGTCCGGGTTTAAAAGAGGCTGTGGCACTAGAGACATTAGAGCCAATGTTAGATGGAACTTAGCTGAAAGCAGAGAGTACCCGAGGAATATCTATCTGTGTTTCATTGACTATGCAAAAGCATTTGTGTGAATTACAACAAACTGTGGCTGACTCTGAGAAGAATGGGAATCTCGAACACTTGATTTTACTTATGCAAAACCTATACTTGGACCAGGAGGCAGTCATCAGAACAGAGCAAGGCAACACTGCATGGTTCTAAATCAGGGAATCTGTACTCCGGGTATACATCTATCTTATCTCCATATCATCTCAGTCTCTATGTGGAACAGATCATCAAGGAGGCTGGACTCTATGAAGAGGAATATAGCATCAGGATTGGAGAAAGACTCATCAAGAACCTGTATTATGCAGATGGTACCACCTTGCTTGCTGAAACTGAGGAGGACCTGAAGGATTTGCTGCAGAACGTCAAGAACTGCAGTCTTCAATGTGGACTGAAGCTCAACATCAAGAAAGCAAAGATTCTCACCACTGGGCTGATTGGAAGCATCATGATAGAGAGGAGAATGAAATTGTTAGTAGCTTCGGCTTACTTGTCTCCACAATCAACACTCTTGGTAGCAGCAGCCAGGAAATCAAAAGACAATTTGCATTGGGAAAATCAGCTGTCAGGGACCCTCCAGAGCTGAAAAACAATGATGTAAGTCTAAAGACTAAGATGTGTGATCCAGGCCAAGGTCTTCACAATTGCTTGATATACATCAGAGAGCTGGACAATGACTAAGGATGATAGAAGAAGAATCGATAGCTTTGAGTTGTGTGGTGTTGTAGAACAGTGTTGAATACAGCATATAAGAGAACAAACAGGTCTGTCCTGGAGAGGGTGAAACCACCCTGCTTTTGGAGTTTAGGATTTTGAAGCTCCATCTGACATACTTTGGGCATGTTGCCAGAATGGGCCTGTCTTTAAAGAGGGACATCATGCTTAGAAGGGCAGAGGCACTGCACAAGAAAGAAAGACCCTGAATGAGATGGATTAACTCAGTGACTGGGATAAGGGGTAGGTGTGTCAGAGACAATGACATTGGCTCAAGATAGAATAGGGTTCAGAACTATTGTATATAGGGTCACTATAAATTGCAGGTGACTCAATGGCACATAACAACAACAAATAACATATAAAAGAGCCTTTGTTGGCATTATATGTAAGGTGTTGGGATGCTAAGCAAAAGATTAGCAGTTCAAATTCACTAACAATTCAGTGGGAGAAAGAAGAATAGTCTGCTCCTGTTAAGTTTTTTTGATGTGTGATGGTTTACATTATATATGTACATTTGCATGTAAAAAAGTGAGATATCAAGAGGCTGTATAGTGTGGTGGTGTGGTGGTGTGTCTGTCAAGTTGGAAGACAAATGTTCTCACCACTGAACTAATAGGCAAAATCCTAATAGTTGGAGAAAAGAGTGAAACTGGCAATGACTTCATTTTCCTTAGATCCGCAGTGAGTACACATGGTTCCAGCCCTCAGATCTGGAAACATTACATTTGGAAAGTGTGTAGTCAGGGGCATCTCCTAATTATTGAGAAGCAGTCATGTTAATTTGAGAACTAAGGTGCATCTGATTTAGGCCATTGTCTTTTCAATCACTTTCTATACCTCTGAGAGCTGGATATTGTCTAAGGATGACAGAAGAATTTATGCCTTTGAACTGTGTTGGTGGAGAATAGTACTGAATATTTCATGGACTAATAAAAAACAAACATATATGTCTTGGAGAAAGTGCATTGAGAGTGGGCCTTGGAGACAAGGGAGGCAAAATTTTGTCTCACATACTTTGGGCATGTTGGAGAGTGACATCATGCTTGGAAAGCTAGAGGGGAAGCAAAGGAGAGGAAGACCCTCAAACTTGATGAATTGACACAATGACCATAGCAATGAGCTCAGATATGTCAGAGATGGTGAGGATGGCACAGGATAGAACAGGGTTCAGATCTGTTGTTTACAAGATCACTATGAGGTGTACCCAACTGGATGGCACCTAACAACAATAATACCAGTGTGACTAACAGTGCATTAGTGATTGTGCATTGCCTTTCTGATTTTCTGTGCTCCAGATAGTACTAAGATAAGAAGAGGATTAAAAGCGAGGCATTTGGCACGTGTTATACAGATTGTATTTTATTATTACTTATAAACACAAGATCTCTAAGTTGAGAATTTTGGGGTCTGAATTATTTGTTTATGTATTTATTTATTTATTAAAGATTTTTGGTTATTTATTTTTTTCTTTTCTTCTTGTGTACCGTTGAATTGGATCCAGCTGGCACAGGAGGAAGTTGCCCCTCCTCCAGCAGAGCATCTGGTGGATTCAAACCGCACATCTTCAGTATTGCAGGGCAGCTTCTAGCCAGTAGGCCACCAGAGTTCCTTTGAATTACTTATTTTTTTAGCAAAATTTAAAAATATTTCTGTTGCACTGTTTGAGGGCAGCAGAGATCCTAGAATCCATAAGCTATTAGTTCCTGACTTGCTTTGTTTGATAAAGCTGTTTGATCAGAAAGTCTCTTAGACTCCCATATGGATCCGGGAATCTTACAGACTTTTTGATCAAACCCCTTTATCAGACAAAGTAAGTCAGAAACTAACAGCTTATGAAAAGTTACTTAGGTGATTCATGGCAGTGAAGGGTAATAAGTTCTTCTATAGACTATGGACGATGGTTTGTCTATAGATGGTGATTCAGAAACCAGTAATTATTTTCAGATTCAGGCCTCCCTCTCTCTCTCCTTACAAGTTCAAAGTGCTATATTTTAATGAAAAGATTATCCTAGGAAGCAAAGATTATTTATTCAAAAGGTTTGTAATAGCAGAGTTTGCCTAAATTTCAGGTATTGCAATTCAGTGTTATAAAACAAAATGTCTATTTGTGGAAAACCAATTTGCTTGTTAACTTTCACTCAAATCCCATTTAAAAAGAAAAAAAGAAGAGGGAAAAAACCCACATCAATTAGTACTCATATCTTCAAAGTCAGTTTAAATGTAGAATCTGAAACCACATTAAATTAATTGATTCTTCTTTCTTCCCCCCCCCCCTTCTACTTCTAGCTCTCTTCAATCTAATTCCTGTGGGCCTGCGTGTGGTGGCTATCCAGGGAGTGAAGGCCAGCCTCTATGTGGCCATGAATGGTGAAGGCTATCTCTACAGCTCAGTAAGCACCATTTTATATGCTTGTATGTATAAATGTGTGTGTGTATGTATACTTATGTCCACTAGTGACCTGGATTGAAAGTAATAGAGTAGCTCTTATTTAAGATAAGAAAATTAGAAATAAAAGTAATTTTGTATTCTCTGACCTAATAAAACTTGCTCTAAGAATTTATTCCTCAGGTATTTGGGATTTTCATGGGGGTCTTATCTTACAATTTACAATGTTAAAAGATCATGTCCTCTTGAGGGAGTTCTGGTGGCCTAGTGGCAGGACGCTTCACTGCAATCCCAGAGGTATGTGGTTCGAATCCACCAGATGCTCTGCTGGAGAAGGAGGGGGCAATCTCCTCGTGTACCAGTCAGATCCGATTTGACTGTACACGTAAAAATAATACAATAAAAAAAAAAAGAGTAAAGATCATGTCCTCTTGAGTGGGGAAAAAAAAAGAACTGATAATCTGATTATCTCCAAGTGAGAGAGAAAGAGAGAGATATTCTCTTCACCTAGTTTCTGCTTTTAGAAATCTAAAAATCTTGAGTGTTTTTTGCATTTTATTTTTCTCTTTATTTATGTGTTGAGGTACTTTTATTTTTAACTCTCCTTCAAGCACAGGAGATGGTTTGTAAAGGGAATGTCTCCAAACCAAGCCTTCTTTGTAGCTTAGTGGAGAAAGAACTATAAGAATAGGGTTTGGTTTTGGTGGGGTTTTTTTTCCCTGTGTGTATTTCATAGATTTATGTAATATCTGACACATCACATTGTCAGGTAATTGATCACTTAGAAAACATGGATTTATAGAATGAGAGATGAATTTGGGGCTGAGATACTTGATTTTTTTTTTTAATTTTGTTACTATCTAGTTGCTTCCTCAAGCAAATCACCTCTCTTTGCGCAACTTCTGTGTTATTAAGATGATTAATTAAATTCCAGATCTAACATCTCCTTCAGATCTAAAATTGATCAAAATTAGTTCTTATTTAGGTTATACATGATCATTATTTCTGCTCACAAAAATGCTTGAAATTCACTTTTGGTCAAAAATAAGGGTGGTATAGCACTGGTCTGTGCGTTGCTGTACAGAGGTAACTCGTGGTTGCTGTGATGCCGAAGCCTGTGACAGTGTTGTGCCAATCGTGGTAATGGGCACCCATGGTGGACGGTGTTGGCTGGAGCTTCCCAACTAAATCAAGCCTGGAAGCAGGAGCGGCATCCACTTCCAAAATGGCTTGCCTCTGGAAACTCTATGTATGAACAGTGCTCAGGCTGTTCGTTCCTAGGGTCACTATGAGTCGTCTACGACTCGACGGCATTAAGCAACAACAACAACAACAATGGCATGAGCAAATTGCTGGAGTTGAAATCAACAGAGAAGAACCTGCTCAGCATTTCTCAAGATGAAAATAAGGACTTAATATAAAATTCAGACCTTCAGTTGAAATAGTGAAGGATTTGATGCAAAATAATGTAGAAAGGTGCGGAAAATAGCAAGAGAAGATGGAAGGAATACATAGAGCTGCTGTCAAACGTTGTGGCCTCTCATTCTTCATGCGTTATAATTGTGACAATTCTTAATTTACTTAACTTTCTCACTTACTGAGTTTCTTTAGAAATGAAAATGAAAAGCAGGAAAATAAAGATAAAATTTCATTTTAAAAAAAATAGTTCATTAGTTAAAGGATTTTTTAAAAAGTTTTGAATATACTAAAGATAAAACCAAATTATTATCTCTGTATAACAATGATTTAAGGGTTTAATCTGTCATCAAGTAAGCACCAAAAGAAGTCTTACATTATTACAGTATTACATTATACAATTTTTAAAAGTCATGAATAGAGGCTGTTGTAAGTTTAAAGATGCTGGATTTGAGTTAATATGTGAAGGTTCAGGAAGAAGGAAAATGCAGAAGATGGACAACAGTATTTTAGGCAGGAGATATGATTGAGGAGAAGCCCAGTTCTCTTTCTCTGTGCGTCTGTGTGTGTGTGTGTGTGTGTGTGTGTGTGTGTGTGTGTGAAAGAGAGAGAGAGACAGAGACACAGACGGAGACAGACAGAGAAGGAGAGAGGGAGCACAGCACTGTTAGGACACAATCTTACAGTGGTGGGGGGCAAGATTGAGTAATCAGTATGTAGTAACGGAAATCAACTTCATCCCATGCAGCTTTTCAGAGATACATTCCTTTATCTCCTTGTTGTTCAGAATACAGTTATAGAGGATTTGCACTTATTGGAAGGGGTTTTAAGAAATTTTGGAGCAGAAAATTTTGCTACTGCAAGCAGTGAAAAAAAATGTTTGTGGAGGTTTATTTTGTGATTATTTTGGTAATAGAGTTAGCATCTGTGTAAAGCCAGTTGTCATTTGTTCAAGTGTCTGTTCTGTGCTCCTTGATTTTTCAATTCTCCTCTTCATTTGGATCAGACCTCTCTAGTACCAGGAATCCCCTGCTTCTTGTCCCACAAAAACTCCCAGGAAACAGTCTTGGTAATCACTGATGTAGAGCAACAGGTTCCCCGGCTGGAATTCACCCTCTTTCTGGATAGAGCAAGTAGGAGTAAGGGCTGGATTTTAATTTTAAACAGGAAACATGTGTCTGAAGACTTTGTCAAAGGACTGAAGAGAATTGATAATAGGGGAGGCTGATATGAAAGAGAAATTGATGTAATCACACCTTCCCCGCTGTGTGGAGTGCCTCAGCAGGGGTGTGCTATCTCAGCTAGGGACCTTGAGGTGAGGTGAAAACAGGCTATTAACACTGGATTTCCTGAGGTGTTTTTGGTATACATTAAGCTTGAAGCCACTTGAAAAGCAGTTTCCTGTTTCACCTAAAACAGTACAATTGGGTTTATGAATGAAAGCCATGATGAGTGTGCGTATAGGGAGTGGAGGGTGGTTGGGAGCACTTACAAGAGGTGCCTTACCCAAGCTGGAGCAAGTATGGCTTACACACTGGGTGTCACTTGAAGGGGAGAGGCACCTTTGAGCTGTTTCTGTTAACTTGTGAGGCTTAAAGAGTGGGGGACCAGCAGGGAACACGTGCCCTGGGTGTTAGTCCAAGGGAATGTCAAAGGAAGTATGGAGTGAAATTCTGAGTTATCACAACTATCAAAGGCCTATGACTGATAGAGCTGGACAAGGAGAGGTAAGGCATTTATCTGCTGGCACTTCCTTCCTATAAGTGTATCTCTTAATCTTGAGATTGTAATGGGGTGACTTCAGAGATTGTGCTCATTACCCATGCTAGGAAGCCTGCTCCTGAGTCCTTGGAGCCGAATGAAGAGGTCCTAAAGGACTCTCCTAGAGTCTAAGTGACAATCACAAATGGTATAATTTCCCTAGTGCTATTTGCTTGTTTTGTATTCATGTTTAAGCTAGAAATTTATTCCCCTTACTCTTTCTGATATGCCCTCCCTTACAAGGAGAAAGTGGTAAAGTTCAAGTGACTGAAAAGAGTAGACAAGAGTAGGAAAGAGTGGTTTAGAGCTACAGTTGTAGAGAGATCATAGAGAGAGATCAGTTAGTTGGCTGAGTGGACAGAAAGTCATGCTCCAAAGCCAAAGATGAGTGACTCTAATCCAGGGCCCTCAGGCCTGCCTTTGTTTTTGGTGAAACACTCTTCTAGGTCATCTAGCCCTGGTCTGTCCACTTGCTGTACAGAGGTAACTCGTGGTTGCTGTGAAGCTGAACACTGTGACACTGATGAGTCAAATATGAGAATGGTTGCCGATAGTGGACGATGTTTGTTGGAGCTCCCCTATTAAAACAAGCTTGGAAGCAGGAGTGGTATCCACTTCCGTAACAGCTTGCCTTTGGAAACCCTATGAACCTGGAGAAAGGACAAAAGTAATACAGGTATCCAGGTCTTTCATTCATGGGGTCATGAGTCGCTGATGACTCAATGGTACCAAACAACAGCAACAGCGTGTTTTAATAGGTGAGTTTAATGCACATTGTGTGATTAGTTTTGCATCTGGATTTAGCTGGATTTATCATAGTAGTTTTCAGCTTGTGTTATATCTATCTGTCTATGTATTCCTGTATTATCATGCTCATTTTAAAACTTGTATTTCTATTTTTTTAGTGATCATTCTTAATTTTATAAAACACGTCTTTAGTGGAGAAGAGTCTTGACCATACCATGGACTGACAAGAAAACAAGTGGGTCTGTCTTGGAGAGGGTGAAACCAAGTCTCTCCTTAGAGGCTAGGATTTTGAAGCTCTATTTCCCATACTTTGGCCACATGGCCAGGAGAGATCGGTCCTTGAAAAAGGACATCATGCTTGGAATGGTGGAGGGACAACAGAGGACAGGAAGATTCCGGATGAGATATATTGATACAGTGACTGGAGCAATGGGGGTTGGTGTGTCAGAATTAGTGAGACTGGCTCAGGACAGGGCAGGGTTCAGAGCTACTGTACACAGCGTTGCTATGGATCTCAGGTGACTCCATGATAAGTAACAACAACAGCTGTCATCAGATTCACTCCAATTCATAGCACCCTTATGTTTAACAAAGTGGAACAGTGTTCACCCTGTACCATCTCACAGTCACTCTGTGCCACAGCCTCTGTGCCCTTCATTCCCCCTCACTGAGGGCTCCCTCCTTTCTCCTGATCCTTGATTGTCTTCCTGATGATTTGTCTGACCTTACTTTTAAGAAACATTCTGGAAGTGTTAAAGACTGCTTTGTTTATCCCCACTCACTCCCCTTAGAGACTCTGGTACTTTTCAATACTTTTTCCAGCACCACAATTCAAATGCATCAGTTATTCTTCAGTCTTCCTTTCTTTGTTGTTCAGCTTTCACATGCATATGAGGTGACTGAAAAATGCTTTGGCTTATTGAGGTCAGGCAGACATTAGTCTTGAAAGTGACATGTTGCTTTATAAGATTTTTGAAAGGTTCTTTGCAGCAAGTTTGCCTGATGTGGTATATATTTTCCCTTTCTTAATCGCTGCTTTCATATTAATCTAAGTAGGATGAAATCCTTGACATCTTCAAT